GACCGTGTTCGCGCAGCTCAGATGATGGAAGCAGACTTACTATAGCTTAGAAAACAAACAAAGAATGGATCGAAGCCAGAGTTTAGTATTGATCGAGGTGACACTTTAGTTTCAAGATCGGTTGTGTGTCTCAGATCAGGATGAACTTCGACATGAGTTACTCCGTGAGGTACATTCTACGTCATATTCTACTTATCCGAAAAGTACTAAGATGTATCAAGAACTTAAAAAATTATTTTGGTGACCAGGTATGAAAAACACTATAGCTGAGTTTGCAGTTAAGTGTGTGACATGTCAGATGGTTAAGACAGAATATCAAAGACCTGATGGTCTATTGCAACCCCTCCCCATTCCATAATGGATTTTGTGGTTGGATTACTAAGATCGAAGTAAGGACATGATGTTATTTGGGTTGTGGTTGATAGATTAACAAAGTCGGCTCATTTTCTACCAATCAAGCATACCTATTTAGTAGATAAATTAGCAAGATCTACATAAACATCATTTGATTGCATTGAGTTCCAACTATCATTGTCTCGAATTGAGATGGAAGATTTACTTCCAGGCTACGGACACAAGTGCAAGAAGCTATGAGCACGAGATTAAGCTTCATTACTGTTTTTCATCCTCAGACAGATGGGCGGTCGGAGCGTACCATTCAGACCATAGAAGACTTGTTGAGAGCTTGCATTTTGGACTTCGGAGGTAGCTGGGAAGACTACATTTCGTTGATAGAATTTGCTCATAACAATAGCTTCTAGGCTAGTATCAGCATGGCACCATACGAAGCACTTTATGGCAGAAAGTGTACATCCCTAATATATTGGTTGGACGTCGGTGAGAGACAAATATTTGGACCACAACCAGAGGATCAAGCTACGAAGAAAGTTCTTCAGATCTGAGATCGATTAATCAGGATCGTCAAAAGGAGTATTTCGACCCAAATCACTGAGAGATTGAATTCAAAGTCAGTGATCATGTTTTTCTGAAGGTTTCACTTATGCGTGAAGTTTACACGATTTGACCAGACTGGAAAGCTTCAACGTCATTTCATTGGTCCTTTTGAGGTATTCGAGAAAGTCAAAAAGTTTCGTACCGTTTGGCTCTTCCTCCAAAACTTACAGAAGTACACAATGTTTTCCATGTATCTCTACTTCGACGTTAAGTAATGATTCTCATATTATTCGGTATGAGCCATTGGTGATTTGAGAATACTTAAGTAATGAAGAAGTGTCATATTGTATCTTGGAGCGAGAATTTTTCGACAGCTTCGCCGCTGATCAATTCCTTTTGTTAGAGTACTTTGAAAGAACCAGTCAGAACTTGAAGCAACTAAGGAGATTGAAGAAGAGATAATCGCGAAGTACCCGTATCTGTTCCAAAATTAATGTATAAATTTGAGAACCAAATTCTTTTAAGGAGGATAGTATTGAAGATCCGAAAAAAAAATGTGATTTAAGAAAGATCCAAAATTTCTTACCTTTTTTTTTTTTCTCTAATGTGATTTCCTTCCTTTTCTTGACTGCTATCGACATACCAAACTTAGATCTTTCCTTCTCACTCTTCCCACCGCCTTCTACCACCTTCCCTATTAGTCCGATAAGCACTGACTTCGGTCCCTATAAATCACGAAGGGTAGGGTTTGCAACACGCATCCTCCTCACACGCTCCCCCTCTTCTCCTGATCTCCCTATCCCCACTCTATCCCAATTTCACTTAAAACCATTGCCTTCCACCGAAACCATGGGATCTAGTCACGATTGGAGCTAACAAAGAAGGCAACCAGGGTCGTAGCTTGCAGAGATCATCGAATCTTCTCCTCCTGCTCCGCTCCAACCTGAAAGGAAGGTAACCATCATCTGCCTCTGTTTTTTGTCAACCGCACAAGCATATGCTCAATTTTTTTTTAATGAAGAGCCAGTATTTAAGAAGATTATAGGATTTTTTTTAAAATGATGTCATTTTATTTATTAAATCATTAGGTATTCTGTAAATCCCTCAAAACTTGATTTAATTACTAGAAATTCTATTTTTTTTCTTATATCATAATAAAACCAAAACAAAAAATATTATTCTAGCAATCATAATAGTATCAATAACAGTCAATTGGGTCGAACCTAATTTAATAAATAAATAAGTTTAATTCTTTAATAATTTTACTTTTACTTAGTGTAGGATCTATATTCAAACTGTCGAATTTTTAGAAGTGGCACATTTCCGCCTCGAGGTAATTAATTGTTATTTATTGAAGGATAAACGTACCCTTTCTAGTTAGAAGTGTTAATCCCTGTTAATTGTGATAGATGCATAGCTATTATATATGATTGTCGGTCATACCTTAATTCTTCAATTATAATTATTATGTTTCATTTTTATATGTTTCTATTATCGCTCATTTTGAAGCAACCAACTGCCTAAATGTATTAATGCAAAATTTCCTGCATATTTGATATAATCTTGCAACATGATAATTTCTTTTTCTACACTTGTATGAATTCGCATGTCATATCACAAGCCTGCATGAAATATTATAACTTTAGCACGTTATACTTATGAAAACAATTTGGCAAGCTTGTGTGTGATGGTGTGTATGTCGATAGAACTCTTTTGAATTTTGGCTAGTCGGACCGACATAATGACGACTCTATAGGAAATCATCGGGTTTCCTTATGTTAGTATTTAACCATCCCTGTTTCAGTGTTTATTAAAATCGACTATATAAATAAAAATGAAAATATAATAATGAGAAACTTAATGGAAAATGTTTGCATTATTTCATATGGGATGCATAATTCATATTTATCCCTCATGTTGGTCTTACAATGTTACATACACATATAGTGATTCTTCCTTAATTATTGTCCATGTTGCAAGCCTCATTCTCCTTGTCCTTTATGTTTTAATAAATAGATGTTATTTACTGAGTTTTTCAAACTCATTCTTGATATTTTTGCATCACAGATTCTATTCAGCCGCTAGTAGGACCGTCTCCACTGAAGCAAGTTTTTCAGTTCTAGTTTCTCAGTTTTGGAATTTTTCTATAGTTGTTTTAGCTATTTATTTTCTTTGTTGAGTCTGAGCAGTTATTCTCTGTTGTTATTTATGTTTTGATTCAAATAAATTTCTATTTTCAGTTTAACTTATATCATTAAACTTTCGTAATTAATAAAATTTACATTTCCTATTTATTTGCAATGCAAATCTTTTTTTGCAAATACAAAACAAGTTCATTTCATCACTCACTGCATCGTCGGGTGTACCGCCATCCAGAATTGGGGTGTGACAAGCGGCTACGAAAACTAGAAGTTATCATCGGGTCTTCGGTCCATAGTCGCATTCAAATTCAACTCTTTCTCCCCCTCCAAGTAAAGATAGTGGGACTATTTATAGGCTTCAAAGGAAGGAGATTTTAATCTTTTGGCAAATAACCTCCCGTAACCACTTGATGGGATGACCCATGTTCATTCCCTTTATGCTAGAGATTTTTTTTGATGATTTAAGGGTCTTAATGACCTCAAAATTAAGGAAGCTTAGGCATGTTGATTCTTTTCTCATCAAGATTCTTGATTTGAATATAAATGTCAAAATTGGAGTTCATTTGACCATCTAATTAAAAATTTAAAACCTCCAAAAGTGTTGTATTGGCTTGATCTAGACTTTATTGGACTTGGATTGGAAAAATTTTGGTATCATTATATTTGTCTTGTCGAAATGGTCAGTTTGACTATAAATTTGTTGAAATTGGAGCCTTGAATGATATTTAACTTGGATATGAAATATTTCTTGTTAAAAAAAATGCCTTAAGATTCACGCAGATTGATAAAAAATTGTTGATGATGTGACAAATATAATCTCAATTAATACTACAATCTTCCTCTATGTCTTAATGTGCAATTTAGTTGTGCAGGTACAATAACTTTGCATCATTGTTGTGAGGGATATATAAATTATATGTTCAAATATTTTATGATTATAATATAAGTCAAAACAGTTCGGGGTCCTAAATAAATCAGTTGAATAAGAAGAGCAATGAACCCTCCAAGCTCACCATAAACTCGCTATACTCACTATGAATTTTCCAAGATCATTATGAACTTGCAAGCCCCATCATGAATTTGCCAAGTTCATCAAGAGCTCACTAGGATCACATAAATTGCCAAAACTATAATGCTGAAATAGACAAAGTCAAGTTGAACTCACTGAAGTAAGATTACAGTTGTTAAAAGGATGTTAAATTTGCCAAGAGCTTTGAGGCCTCCCTGTCTCTAAAAGCTACTCGTCAGAATTTCACCAAGCTAATCAGTAACTTCATCCAGATGTGGCTTCAGCGAATTGCCAATATAAATTTCAATTATTTTGGCCAAATGTCTTATCTACTTTAATGGTAAACAGCTGTTAAGTCTAGCTATATATATATATATATATATA